AGTTTTTGGAAAAACCTTACAATTTTTGGATTTGAAAATTTGGGGCGAAAGGGCGGAAGTGGTGTAGTGGCAAGTGGCACGCTTACCACGCGAGCGGTCCGGGGATCAAATCCTGGGTCGTGAGTCGCCCGGGCCAACCAAGCCTTCCATCCCTCCGGGGTCGGTTAATTGGTACCAGACTTGTCTGGGAGGATAAAAACACTGACTTGTACATCGGCTGGCCCCCGCAAGTCATTGTATAGGCCACATCGCATTCAAACGCCACTACGAATGTACAAATGGAAGTAGAATGCGTGCCGCATCCCAAAAAGGGATTGATCAACGGCTTTATCCTTTATCCTTTTTTTTATGGCCCTATCACTTTTATTACAAACGGTTTCTGTCATATTACCACATATATACTTTTAAGACATGACAAATACAAAAACGAGACAAAATAATGGTTTTAATGGAAATACAGATTAAATATATGATATTTATGCTCGCTGAGCAGCACGCGGCGGTGAGCATAAAAAGGCGCCGGCCACACGCGCCCGCCACGTGAAAAGTGCGCGGTTCCGGAAAGGGTTAAGGTCCCATTGCTGTTCCAATAATTTTTAGAGCATTCTACGCAGGATGGAGGTTATTCTGGTATTACCTTGAATCACGTACTGGCGATTAACTTTGAAGTTCCCACGTCACAGAGTCTCTGTACTTGAACAAAAAACCAATTAAAAGGATGGTGGTTACAGAGATTCCTTTGATAACCTTCACGGTTAAAATGGGAATGAACTCAAAAGAGGTGCTGCTTTTTCTAACTTTCTGACTCAACATTGGTTTTCAAATGTGACCAGAATTCAGGGTTTATGACCTAAAAGGCGTCTAAAAGAAATTTTGTACCATCCTCTAACCTCTTGCGAGAGTGGGTGACTTGCTTGGTGTGTACATAGATTTCTTAGCAGTTTGTAGCCGTGGGAGAACTTATGATTACCTATGGCAACACTCAATGAAGTTAACCTTCATAAACGCAATAAGAGCGAGACATATGTAATTGAAAAGGGTAATGTGGATGGTAGATCTTTAGATCTATGGTGAGAAAAACTGAGGACATTTACCTGCCGTTAAAAGGCTCATTCCACGATCACCTGAGCGTAATCACGAAAATCGAAACAGAAAGTAAAATTGGTAAAAAAACCGATGGCGGAGAGCAAAACAAACAGAGTTGCTGAAAATATTGAGGATTAGGGCTTTGTTCTTAGCCGATGGATGAATCCTTCTCAAAATAGAAGGAAGGATCAGCCGTTTTTGCAAAATTTCCTGCAACTTCCTCCCCCCACCCTCCCAAAT